GCAGGTAACGTAATACGGAGTCGGACTACCTGACCGATCTGACAGTAAGCTCGAAACAAAATCGAATCGGTGCACGATGAGCATCCGTACAGCTGGAACTCGTTTTATAAACAAGTGTCCCCTTTTGCTTTCCGCTTGGATCGATTAAAAAAACCGAACGGAGACGGTCTGCTCTTAATCTTTTCCTTTTAAGGGTCGCAGGCTAATTTTACTTTGCCATCCTAAATATCGGATTCTGGATACGGAAGGATCTTCGTAGGAGTCTTCTTTTTTTTTTAACGGGTTGCACTTCCTACTTTGTGCTTCGAGATTATAGTCGATGGTATTTATGTTATTTGAATGATGGAGATTATTAAGATGAAATTCTTGTTTGGGATTTGTAGGGTTGAATGCTTGTGCTGTTTAGATTGGGGATTTTTTGGGTTATTTGGTTAAATTGGGTACGTTGGAAAATTTGGATAATTTGGATAATTGAGATAATTTAGATAATTTGGATAATTTGGATAATTTGGATAATTTGGATAATTTGGATAATTTAGATAATTTGGATAATTTAGATAATTTAGATAAATTGAATGATTTGGAAAATTAAGATTAGTTGAATAATTTAGATAATTTAAATTAATTGAATGATTTGGATAATTAGGATTAGTTGAATAATTTAGATAATTTAGATTAATTGAATGATTTGGATAATTAGGATTACTTGAATAATTTTGATAATTTAAATAATATAGATAATTCAGATAATTTGAGTAAATTGAATAATTTGGGTAATTTGGTTAATTTGAATAATTTGGATTAATTGAATAATTTTTACAATTTATATAATTTACATAATTTAGATAATTTAAATAATTTAGATAGTTTGGAAAAGTTGGATAAATTTCATAATTTATAATTCTTATCATTTTTATAATATAGTTAACATAAATACTTTGAACAATTTTGATAATTTGGATAATCTATCCAACTTCATTAATTTTAATAATACCCTTAACCATAATATTTAATTACCTTCGCACTCCAGTATAAAATTCAACTACTCAAACATTTAAGTGTAATTTTAAATCCAAAATGTAAAATTTGCATATCAATCCTTAAATTCAAAATCTTAATAATCATCTACTCCAACAACCTTAACTTGAAATACCCAATTCAAATATTCAAACAATTAAATTATTAACAATTTATTACCTCAACACCCACAAATATTTTTAAACAACCCCCAAAATCAATTAATTCGAATAATACGCTACCTAAAAATAATTATCGATTACAAATAAAAATAACAAGAGTTCCACGCAAAATAAATGTTGCTGGTATCGCGTGTGGAGATTTTTCTTTCGTTCATGAACGGACGCGGGAGGAAAAGGCGGATGCGCCTGTCCGGCGGAAAGGAGAATAGTCTCCTCGTATTGGTCCATCCGCGGTTTCCATGGACGCGAATCATCGATCTGTTCACCGTTGACGTTTGTTTCCGGAACGGAGCATGCTCCGATGGAACTCGGCTTCTCGTTCGAGCGTTTTATTATTTGAACGAGGAACGAACAAAAGGAATCGTTCAACTTGGAAATTTATTTCCTCTTCACTGTACCCTCATTTATTTCCTGTACACAACAAAACCATCTCACAAATACCCTTTGTACATTCACTTCTTTTTAGAATTTTATAAATATTTATTCAAATCTTTCTCATTATTTTATTAAATACGATATAAGTTTGTTCTTATTTTTTCAAACGTTTAATTCAATTATTTGAGACATTCTTGTTAATATGGCCATATATGTGGACTCTTGGTGTTAGCCATATGTGGACACTTTCTATACTGATCTAACATGTGTGTTATTAAAAATTTGTTCATTTTATGGACGTTATACATGTAACAAGATATTGTAAAAATATTTAGCAGAATTTATTAGAAATTAAAACATTGGATGCAATTTTCAATATGGCTGTCAATGAGTCAATCATTTAACAGAGAAGTAAACAAATAGATGAATAATTGTATAAATAAAAATTTTCTCTGCGTCAAATTTTCAGTGCACCGAGTAATTTATCTATTACTAAAAAATATATAAACGACCTAAAGCTGTAAACAATATTTTTTTACCTATTATACATTTATTTTCGAAATCTATTTTATGCAACTCGAACGATAGAACGGTTCGTTAGGAAGCTCTTTTCGTGCCGGATTCAATTAAACGTGCAAATACGCGATTAAACGAAGCTGTCGGATACTTTTCAAATCCCTTGAAACGCAACTCTCCCCCAAGTATCTAGCTCGATTCTATGCTTCGAGAACTAACGGCGAGTTCGACTCATTAAAGCTATATTTCAGCCATCGTCGTCTGAAGCAACACTGAACTTCCTACTCTATGCAATCAAGTGCATAGACAATTACTTGCGCGGAGTATCGAACGTAGGACGAGAACTTGGCTCGTTAACACGGCGAGAAATCGCGGAGCGAAACTTCGGAAATTTACTGACACGGAATTTTCGAATCGGATAACGATCGGGTTAACGAGGCCGAGCTGTGTGTGTGCAAGTGGCGTGCACGGACGGGCACTTATGGCTAGGGGAGATAGTCAATTTCGTTATTTGGGAATCGGACATTTTATATTCGAGCTTCGATTTCTTTTCTTACAATTTTTAAATTTCAAGGTTGTTAATTGTATTTTAGCGTTCATAGATTTATTTCACAAATTTCTGTACTTTTATATTTGAGAATTTTGAGGCTGTAGGTTTAAAAATTTAGAAGATGCAAATTTTGGGATCTGTAAATAGAAAAATATGTAATTTGTATATTTCGGCATCTGCGGTTTGTGCATTTGTAAATTTGTAAATTTGTAAAGTAGTACATTGGTACCTTGGTACATTGGCAAATTGGTATACTGGTAAATTGGTACAGTGGTACATTGATAAATTGGTATATTGGAACATTGATAAATTAGTAAATTGGTAAATTGGTAAATTGGTAAATTGGTAAATTGGTAAATTGGTAAACTGGTAAATTGGTAAATTGGTAAATTGGTGAATTGGTGAATTGGGAAATTGGTGAATTGGTAAATTGGGAAATTGGAAAATTGATAAGTTGATGAATTGGGAAATTGATAAATTGGAAGATTGATAGATTAATAAATTAGTGAATTGGTAAATTGGTAAATTAGTGAATTGGTAAATTGGTAAATTGGTAAATTGGTAAATTGGTAAATTGGTAAATTGGTAAATTGGTGAATTGGTAAATTGGTGAATTGGTGAATTGGGGAATTGGTAAATTGGTAAATTGGTAAATTGGTAAATTGGTAAATTGGTAAATGGGAAAATTGGAAAATTGATGAATTGGTAAATTGGTAAATTGATAAATCAGTAAATTGATAAATTTCCACATTTTTAAATCTGGAAATTTGAAAACTTAAAAAGCTGTAATTTGCACACTTGTAAATTTCCAAATCTTTCAATCTCTCAATTTCCAAATTACCAAATTTTCCAATCTTTCAATACTCAAATCACCAAATTTCCGAATCTGCCAATTTCTCAATTTCCAAATTTCTAAATCTGCCAATTTCTCAATTTTCAAATTTTCCAAATCTTCCACTTTCAATTTTAAAATTTTTAAACCAAAAACCTCAATACATATCTGTACTTCGAAATTACAACTATAAAAAGTGTCGAATATTTTTCAATTGGCAAATCGATCGTTTCACTCGTGTTTTACCACGATTCGTTGTCTTTCGCGAAGAATTTCACGCGTGTGATACAAATTTTTCGTTCGTATCCTATCAAAACTATGTAATCGATCTGTGCGTTTCTTTTTCAAAACGTTATCACCATTTTGAATATGTGAAAGTGTATCACGAATTTTATAGAGAATTAGACGAATTAAATTTCAAGAATATTGGTCATGAACCAAATCAAGTTATTTCATAATAAATCCTTGTTTTCGACCCTCAAGCAACCATCGCTGGTATGGTAATTTTTAAATTCATATAATAAAACTATTTTTAATTTTTGAGTTGTTATAACTTTTGTAATTAATGCGAAATGATATTTAAATCAATTTTAATTAAAGAAGTTGTTTGTCGAGAAAGGATTCGAATAATCATTGTAGTTGTACATAACCTCAAATTTTTTGTATTATCTGTTATTTGTTATTTTATTACTTGTTATTTAAATTATTATTTATGTAAACTTTTATGATAGTTTATGATACAATTGAATGAATGAGCAAATTTAATATTAATATGAATATTAAAGCAAATTTTTGTCTGTTAAATTTTGAAAAAAGGTTTTTCATATACCACAAAACTAGTACTAGAAAAAAATTATTTACTACAGATTCATTCACAGTTTTCATGTTTCATAAAATCTAAAAAGCTAATGAGGAGTTTATTGAATGTAATTGAAATTAAATTTAATTTATTCATGCAATGATTCATTCATTCATACATTTATTCATACATTCATTCATTCGTTTTTACCTTCATTCATTAATTATTTAATTTATTCACTCATATAATCAGTGCAAATTAATTTCATTTCATTTAAAACTAAATTTAGATTGTAAATTATACGGTGAATCAGCAAAGAGCCATTTTGTAGTTGAAGGATTAACATCACGAGTACCAACAGTGGAACACTAAATCTTGAATTGCATACATGAGTACTATTTATCCTCACAAAAATCACTTGTATATTTTATATATTTCAAAGAAATAGTAACCTTCAACATGAGTTATTCAGTTACTTAACAATCTCTTAAATAAAGAAACTTGTAGTATAAACAAACCTCTAACCCAGTTCATAACAGATTAATCCCTTCAACTACGAAATATCTCATAGTGTTCTTTTTATTATAATCCCTTTTAGTACTACATATTATTTGCAAAAATCTATGTATTCCTCGTCCCTTAAAATAAAACCTCCCCGTTTTAAATTTGATTAGAAATAAATGGATTAACAAGGATTAACATAATCCTTGTATTTTGTTCCACAAAAAGGCATACAGCGGCGGAGTAAGACCATGGGAACGGTTTCAATCGATGTTCGAACAGTGGATACCGGTGAAAGGCGAGTCCTGTTGGGTGGAAGTTCTCATGCCTCGGGATCGTCTAGAAAGAGGTCAGAGTCGGACGAATCGAGAGGCGCCGGAAAATTCGAGGATCATCTTCGGAGTGCGATGCGACAGACCTCGGCCAAAGATCATGAGACAAGTGGTGCACGATTTCAAGAGGAGATCGCTGAGTCTCTGACGCCGGCGTTCAACTATCGTAAAGGGAAGAGGAGTGACAAGAAGTCTGCTCGTTGCAAACGCAGAGTCACATTTGCTATATGAAAATCTTGCTTGATCCAAGCTTTCGATTTGAATATTGATACGATTGATTATGTTTGAATATTGATCAAATTGATTACTTTTGAGTATTGATCCAATAGATTACATTTGAGTATTGCTCACAATTGGTTACTGTTCGTTCAGTTCTGACTTGGTCTTTTTATCACTGGACTGTGGTTGCAGATATCATTTTTAGTGGAATTACATCTGATTTTGCTTGGTTTTTAGTTCAATGTAATAATTGCTAGATTTCTATTTGAATCATATGTGAGACTTGCTAGGTACCTGTTCGAATCATATGTGAACCTTGATAGATACCTATTCGAAACATATGTGAACCTTGATAGATACCTATTCGAATCATATGTGAACCTTGATAGATACCTATTTAAATCATATGTGAACCATGAAAGATACCCATTCGAGTCATATGTGAACCTTGATAGATATCTATTCGAGTCATATGTGTACCTTGATAGATACTATTCGAGTCATATGTGAATCTTGATAGATACCTATTCGAATCATATGTGAACCTTGATAGATACCTATTTAAATCATATGTGAACCATGAAAGATACCCATTCGATTCATATGTGAACCTTGATAGATACCTATTCGAATCATATGTGATCCTTGATAGATACCTATTCGAACCATATGTGAATCTTGATAGATACCTATTCGAAACATATGTGAACCTTGATAGATACTATTCAAACCATATGTGAACCTTGATAGATACCTATTCGAGTCATATATGATCCTTGACCGATACCTATTCGAAACATATGTGAACCTTGACTGATACCTATTCGAATCATATGTGAATCTTGATAGATACCTATTCGAAACGTATGTGAGACGTTGTGACAGAAAGAAAATTCTTGATTATGACTTGGAACATAAATCTAAAATAAATTTATGATTTTCATACTCGTGCTTGGATCTCGCAAGATTTTCCACCTGAAGAATTATAATACGAAGAAATAAATACGAATGAACAAAAAATAAAACAAATATTTATTATTTGAAAACGTCAGTTATTTATTTATATCCTGAATTAATTATAAGAATTACAAATTTCGATGACATAAACTATAATTGTGATTTGTTTGTATGTAAATTTGTACAAATTTTAACGTATTAACAAAAATATAATTATGGTTACATTCTACATATTTATATTTGAGTCGGCTGCAAGAATTAGTATTTTTATTTTGATTCATGAAAAATAATTTTTAAAACAATTTTTAACTATTTTTTTGAATGATCCTTGAACGAAGTGAATTCGTTTAATATTTTATCGATTGTACATCGACATCGATAATCGATTGTCGAATGTTTCATCCGATCTCCCGTTGTTATCCAAAAGTCCTGTCAGTTCTTCAAAATGCCGCGACGCTAGAAACTTTATATTAACTCTAGCCCGCTTTTTTCTTCCGTTTCTCGTAGTTTCATGATCAAAATTTTAAGTACATAATCATTACTAAAAATTTTCTATATAATATTCGTGAAGAATCGTTTAAATTTACACAGAATAATGAACGGCATCAGGACATTGGTTTTACAAGATCTCTCTCATATTTTACCTTCTAAAAGTCGTCAAGTTTGTATTAACTATTAATTAATATCTCCTTTAACAATTAAACTATAATATCTTTTTAACTATTTTATATAATAGTTATATAAAAAGCTATATAGTAAAGAAAATGTAAATTAAAAATATTTTGTCCTTCTTTGTAATGGAATATTTCAATGACACTTTCTTTCGAATTGCAAATTATAATTTTCGAAGATTTATATATTAAATTTTTTATATTTACGAGTTTCTGCATATCGGATATTTAAATTCTGAATTTCCTATACCCTTAAATATCTAAGTTTACAGATGTTTAAATTAGTGCAATTGAGTGGTCCAAATTCTTAAATTTTCAAATGTGCCAGTTTGTCAATTTTTAATATCCAAAATTTTGAATTTTTAATCTTCTAAATTCCCTAATGTTCAAATCCCTAAACTTCACATCCTCCAAACTGCAAAATCCCCAAGTCCCTAAGTCCTCAAACTCCCAAACTCCCAAATTCCCAACCTCTCAAATTCCTAAATCCCCAAATATCCAAGTCCCCAAATTAACAAAAGATCTCCTTAATTCCAACACTCTAAATTTCCACAACCTAATTCATTACCATCTCCTCAGCTCCACGCCACCGCATCGAGCCGCAGATTCTGGAACTTCTTCGAGTTCTCCCTAAAGGAAGACGCCTCCTCTTCAAGTCCCAAGAAATGCGCCTCCACGAAGGATATCTCTCCCTCCCTGATTTTCCCGAACGAACTCGAAAGCACCTCCGCAAACGGTACCTGTTTAAACGCCGGTCGTACCGTCAGCCCCAATCTGAATCCCAAGGTCCACGTCTACCATTTCGACATGAAACCACCTTCCGTCGCCTCTCCAAAGCTATCGAGTCCCCTCACTCAACCTGACAACCTGGTCTCCCTCTTGGACGGCAATCCCGTGCCGAAGACTATGAAGTGGAAGCTGAAGGGTTATAAAACGCTCCGCAGCGAGGAGTCCAGCGATTTCGCTTTTGTACCTGGCGCTAATTCTTACGATTTGGATATTCTATCACGAAACTGTCCTAAACCAAAGAAGGAGGATGCTGTAAAAAAGGACACTCTGTGTCTGACGACCAGAGCCATCGAAAATAAGCAGAACATAGAAACCAAACCGAAGGAAGCGAAACAGGTTAACGGTAACTCGAAGGAGCAAAATGTTAGAACAGGGCAGACTTCGGAGCCTGTCTGCGATCAGACACCAGGTAAAATAACTGTGGGGATGCTACCGAAGAAGGAGGATCAATTTCTGCCGATTTCTAAGAGCGAGTTATCGATCAGCAAAGTGCAAACGCAGCCAAAAGTGCAGTACTCTTCTAAGCCACCTAAGATCTCCAAACCCTTGCCCCCTGGGAGCGGGAATGAAATTATGGATAGCGGATCTTACATTGATAAGCCAATGTTAGCTCCTTCTCCAAGAGAATATCAAGCTTCTGAGGTTTCTAAAAAACCTACGGAAGCGGACTCAGAATGGTCCACTATGGAGCGGATGACCGAACAGAAGGCTGAGCGAACGCAAGCTTACGAAGAGAAAACTGGTAGAGCCACAGCTTTGCCGCAACGAGAACCATCCGCAAAGGCTACCAAGTACTTTGCTCCGCGGAGGTCTGCGAACAGTGATCGCGACCCTGCTTACGAGTCTGTACTGAGTGTCTTACCAGAATACAGACCCTTGAAGATTTCCAGTCCGCAAGAGAACCGCCTTGCGACGTCGCCTTGCGCGGCTACTCAAGCCAGAATACAAGCAGCGGCGAGCAAAGGGTTCCAGAACGACTCTTCAGGTCAGAACTCAGACCTCGGAGGATCTATGTCCGGTGGTTCCGGTTCTCGCAAGCCACCGCAATCGTTTTATCCTCCGATCACCCTCAAGCGATCGTCCTCGAACGCTCCATGTTTGACGAAGAACGTACCCGAAGTGGAGAACCGAAAATCGGTGAACAAGAATTCTTCCTCGAATATTTCTACTTCCAGTGCGAATTTAGCGCCCAGGAAGTGTGACGAGGGCGAGAGGGAGGAAGGAAGGATGATATGCACGAAACCTAGGCAGAACAAGTGTGGTAAACCGAAGAAGAAGAAGGAAAAGAAGATTTGCCAACGTTACTGCTGTCCGGCGCTGCAGGTATCGACGGAATGCGACTTTAACGAGTTCCAGTGCCCGAAAGACGGCAAAAACCATAAGAAACGCGTCGTCGAGAGGGATCCTACGTGTCTACCGCCGGAGGAGCAGAAGGAAAGCAGCAGGGAAATTTGCACGCAGCCGAGAGAGTCTCGCAGGGATAGCTGCAAGAGGGAGAGGTCGTGCAAGAGGGAGAGGTCGAGCAAGAGGGAGAGGTCGTGCAAGAGGGAGAGGTCGTGCAACAGGGAGAGATCTTGTAATAGAGACAGGTATACATAGAATTTTTATTAAAAAATTCTAATAAGTATAAATTAATTGTACACTTTGGAAATTTGTAATCTGACAAATTTTTACTTGCAATAAATTTCTGAAATCTCCAAAATTCCAAGGTTTGTAATATTTTTTTAATTTAGAAGCAGACAAAGTTGCAAGCGAGAGGAGAGCTGTCAGCGAGACAGGAGCAGGTCCTGCAAAAGACAGGAGAGAAGAGACTGTTCCCAGAGCAGTCAGGGACAGGGTCGTGAAATCTGCACGAAACCGAGAAAAAGAGAGTCGTGCAAACGTCAAAAGAGCAGCGAGCGCGATTGCGGTCGAAGACCCGCGAAATGTTCCGGAAGGAGGAACTTCACGCAGTCGGCGTTTGGAGGACGGCAGAAGCCCATGACAAACACGAGACGATACTCTTCTTTACCAGCGTTCGCCTTCTCGTTGATCGGCATAAAATCCAGCGGGGAGACAAAGCAAAGTATACTGGACACCCCAATTAACAGATTTTACGGGAAAAAGTCGTCTGGTTGCAAACCGCCTACGGACAAATGTGAAAAGCCGGCTTCCAGCACGGACGTGAAGTGCAAGACTCCTCCGCCAAAGTGTAAACCGGCGAAGTGTAAAGCGGAGAGTACTTGCAAACCGGCGAAGAAAGAGAGTCCGTGTAAGCCGCAGAGAACTGAGAGCAAATGCAAGCCTTCGAGGTCTCAGGATAGATGCAAAAGATCAGAGAGTTCTTGCAAGAGACCGGAACCCAAGTGCAAACCGACTTGCGCGGTGAAGAAGTGTGAGAGTACATGTAAACCGCCGAAGAAGACTGAGAGTACATGTAAACCACCGAAGAGGACTGAGAGTACGTGCAAACCGCCGAAGAAGACTCAGAGTACATGTAAACCAGCGAAGAAGGAGAGTACGTGCAAACCAGCGAAGAAGTCTGATTGTGATAGTCAATTCAAGCCATTGAATCCGGCTGAAAGTCTGTGGAAACCGTCGAAGAAGACTGAGACCACATGCATGACACCGAAAAAGGGCGAGTGCAAGTGTAAGCCGGTGAAGAAAACTGAAAGCAAGTGTAAACCGGTGCAGAAAACTGAAAGCAAGTGTAAACCGGTGAAGAAAACTGAAAGCAAATGTAAACCGGTGAAGAAGGCAGATCCTTGCAAGAAGGCAGATCCTTGCAAGAAGGCAGATCCTTGTAAGAAGGCAGATCCTTGCAAGAAGGCGGATCCATGCAAGAAGGCGGATCCGTGCAAGAAGAGCAAGTCCGATGACTATTGCAGTAAAAAGAGAGAGGAAATATGCAAAGGTACTAAAAAGGGGGTGAGTTTGTCATCCTGGGATCAGATTTAGATTCCTATGTACTTAGATGTTTGTCAGCTAACTTTCAGGGACACTAATTGTGAGACACCTTGTATCCTCAATCCCTATATTTCCAAATTCTGTATTTCCATATTTTCAGAACTCTGTGTTTCTAGATTCTTGGATACCTTTTCTAAATCTATCCCTAAATCTCCAGGTCGCTATCTGCATAGCTATGTACATCTATGACCCCTAGATCTCTAAATCCCTAGATGGTCCCAGAGCACTCTAGCTTTCCGAAGTGTCTAATACCCTAATTTTTTAAATTATCCACACTCCCCGATCCCCATATTTCCCCAAACCTAACCTAACCATGTCCCTACGTATCTAATCCCCATAAAGTTCACACTAATCCAAATTTCATAACAGAAAGAAAAACCGCGCTGACATCACCCTCGCACGAGGAATCCACGAAAGAGAGAGTAGAACGCGAGAAGAAAGAGATGGAAGAGTGTAAGAAAAATATCAAGCAATCTGGAAAAGGGAATAAGAAGAAGGAAGAGAATGTAGTGCCGAAAGGTTTGGAACGTGTCGTCAGTCCGTGTAAACAGTCGAGCAAGTGTGGGAAGGATCCCAAGAAGAAAATGTCGTGTATCGGCGTTCCGTTCGATTGTTTGGTCAGCAACACCGTTGGAAACGTTATCGGGATGTCGGAGAATAAACCGTACAGTATTTTGCCGGACAGAAATTACTCCGTGATGAGAAGTTCCTCGAATTTCGATCAGCTCGAACTAGGGGATTCGAAGCTCGACGATGACAACATATTTTGGAGGAACACCGATGACGATTTCGATACGACACCCGTCGAGGTTGAGGTGGATGACAAAACTAGTTGGTTTCTGTCGTGGTTCCATAGAAATCAACGTTAACTGAGTACTTCACAAATTTTGAAAAACTTCATTTTTAAATTTTGCAATAGAAATTGTTGTCACGGCTGTTTGTACCATTAACTTTCACGACACGTGTATTGTAATTCTTGTAAATTGCAGATCTGTTTTCTGGGAACATTATAAACCAGCGATAAATAAAACTGCAGATAACGATTAATATAATCTATGTTAAAGCGAACAGTGTCTGTGAATTAATACATCATTGTTTAGATCGGATGATTGAAATGACTGTGTCGCCATTAAGATATCCACTTGAAATCACCAGCACACCATGGCAGACGTTCGATAAATACGTTACGTCAGGGACCTTCCTTTTCACAGTTGACATTTGCCTGAGTAGAGTTTCCTCGATCATCCCCAAATGTGACCCCAAATCTGTCTTCGGGCATGGCTCTATCGGCGGTTCTATAGGCTGTTTCACAAATGTTATAATACCTCATTATTCAATTCTTTGGTTTCCTTGTAATTTCTCAATTTTCCAATCATTAGATTTTACAAATTCTCAATTTTACAGTTACCTACTTTTCAAATTTCTCAATTTCTCAATTAACTAATTTCCTGATTTCTTATAATTTCTGAGTTACCTAGTTTCACAACCTTTTAATTTCCCAATTTCTTAATTTCCCAGTTACTTAATTTCTCAACCTTCTAATTTCCCAATCTCTTAACTTCCCAGTTACTTAATTTCTTAACCTTCTAATTTTCCAATCTCTTACCTTCCCAGTTATTTAATTTCTCAACCTTCTAATTTCCCAATTGCTTAATTTCCTAACTTTGTAAATTCCCAACTCTCTAATTTCCCAACTCCGCAATTACCTGATCCCCAAGTTCCCAAATTTCCAAATTCTGAAATTTATAAATTTTCCAGTCACTGAATTTTCCAACTTCTCAATTTCCCAGTTACTTAATTTCTCAACCTTCTAATTTCCCAATCTCTTAACTACCCAGTTACTTAATTTCTCAACCTTCTAATTTCCCAATTGCTTAATTTCCTAACTTTGTAAATTCCCAACTCTCTAATTTCCCAACTCCGCAATTACCTGATCCCCAAGTTCCCAAATTTACAAAATCTGAAATTTATAAATTTTCCAATCACTGAATTTTCCAACTTCTCAATTTCCCAGTTACTTAATTCCTCAACCGTCTAATTTCCCATCTCCATAACTACCTGACCCCAAGTTCCTAAATTTCCAAATTCTGCAGTTTCTCAATTACCCATCCAATGTATTTCTTGACGTCCATTTCCAAATGTGTCCATCCTAAATAAATATTCCAATTAACGTTAACTTCACTTATTTAGCATTACCAGTACATCTAGATAATTTCCTTGTTCCAAATAAACCCAACAGAATGGTCCACTGCAATAGTTACAAGCACACTACAACATAAGAAAGCTAAAAAGAGAGCTAAAAGCTGATTTCAATTTGTTAGTAGTTTATGAAGCATCCTGTAGAAGCTATCAAACCGGACGATATTCGTAAGTTCAAACAATCCCGGGGCCAAAGTTCGTCCCGCTGAATCGAGTCTCTCGCGAGCAGTTACCAGACGTCTTTGTGCGACGAACGAGGCACGACAGAGGCGTGCACATGAATGGAGGGGTAGCAGGAGGTGCAATTATGGGTTATTCAGGTCTCGCCACGGGATACCCGGGGTGCCGTCACCATGGAATTTCTCGTACGCGCGTATACCTGGCGCCTCTCTGCCCTTTTTACGTTGTGCACACGGCGAACGCGTTAGTTTCGAAGGAGGAGAAGGGGAGAATAACGAACGTGGAACGGAGACAGAAGCCAGGAGGTGGAGGAGGAGGAGCAAGGGAGCAGGGAGAGAAAAGCGGTGAGGACGTCTCTGCGGGAATCCCCGCGCTCCGCCACTTATGGGAACTTGATACGAGCTTTTCGTCGGATGCTCTCTTGCGTTTTCGCATTGTTGCGCAACCATGTCGTCCTTCCTTCGTCGTCGTCCTACGTTTCCCGCTACGCGTGTCGCAGCGCTCTTTGCCTTCCACGACAAAAGGAATCGATGTCAATGCGAACGCTTTGTGCCGAGTTTCTTTCGGCTTCCGGCTCGTCCCGAGACGACCAAATTCGTGTTTACACCGTTGGAAACTACTTCCAGACTATTTGCGATTCCTCTTGCTACGTATTATATCGCCGTGAATGACCTATGCGCTATTTCACCGTATATTGTATATGCAGTTACAATTTTAGGAAAATAACTTAAAAACTTTTACATGTGATACAGCTTGTAAAAGTACCTTTTATAAAAGGTGTATCTGACATTGGAAGATTGAGGAAATCTTTTGAAGGAAGTGTGTAAAGACTCATTCAAATATGTTCTTCACACAATGTGTTTTATGACAAGAACGTTCAAAAATAAGGAAAATAACTAATTCAATACTTTGTGGTAATTTATACTAACAACCTAAAGTTCAATAGCTATGTACTGTAGAACAATTATTTATTACAATTTAATTAAAAATTTCACATATTATCATGTCATAACATTTTGTAAAAAATTTTTCAACTAAAGAAAAAAATTTTACATCTCATTTTATATTAAACATACCACTTTCATTTTTTTAAACACATTCATCTTTTAAACCCCTAAAAGCTGTATACCAACTAAATTCATAAATGTGAAAATTAAAACAATAAAACAGTTAAAATTTCTAAATTTCTAAATTAAAAAATTCTAATCTCAGTTTAAATGCGATAATATATGATAATGTATGACAGACGATCTTGTGTATAATTTGATTAATGGTGAAGCGTACATATTTACTAAAATGGATGGTGATGGAACGGCACGCGACGCGGCGATCATTTTCAACCAATGTTATAAGAGTATATTATTTTTAAACAAGTTGTCATCGAGAAGATCGAACGGTTAATTTCACGGTTGCTTAAAGAGGGCGCAGAGACCACCTAGATGTCACATTACGATGTCAACGACTTCTTCCTGGACCACAAACCGCCTCTGTCAGTTGAAAATGAATGGTGACGCCACGGGTGGCACTGTGACGGGCAGAACTACAATCGGTGAAAATGTGTCAATTTTATTGGAGGGATTTATATTCATAACCTCGAACCGGTATAACCTTAATAAAATATACGTACCACAAGATTTATTTATTTATTTTATATTCAATATATGTATAATGCGATGAAATGTTCTTCTGCTTTAATACTGATGCTATAAAATAATAGAACAATTATAATAATAGTATAATAATGGTAGTTTAATAGACTTAACAATAATAGTTTTAATAGCAGAATTATTTACTGTTAAGGTTATGTATGTTTCATATTTTGTACCTCAGTACATATTTTACACTTTATACATTACCTCAGTATATTTTATACAGATATATATTTATACAGTATATTTTAGTATACTTTATACATCAGACCTGTAAATATATTCATTGTATTAACATAGATTGAATTCACTAATATACAAATTTACAAATTATCATAAAATTCAGTTAACTATTACCAATTCAAATTTAACAGAACAGAAAGAAGCCATATTTTAGGTTCGGTTTTCAACTTGACATCAAGGAAGCTAGTAAATTTTTTCCAAGAAGATCCGGCGGCCTCTGGCGACACGGCGGTCAGTTATTTTGTTAACCGTCAAAAGCGAACCGCGGAAGTGATGAAACAAGAGCAGAAGGGTTTCCCGATCACACGTGCAGTGTTCGAAGATGTCCCACATCAATCAAGATAGATGGAAAACGGTACGTGCAAAACAAACTGCGTTCTCGTTTGGATAATACAGAAGTACCAGCGCGCCGGAAAATCTGGTAGACAGACATTATTTTAGGAAGCAAGGTCTTGTTTTCCCAAAAGTCCTTTCGGTCTGAGAAAACAAGATGTCCTTTGTCCGACTCGCCATACGATCCTCTTCAGAAGTAACTGCCGACTGCGTGTCAAAAATCCTCATAACGCGGAACAAACGAGAACCTGAAATATTTTGTACGATTCTGGTGGAGTAAGCCTCAGAAGAATAGAAGTTTATAGAACTTCATAGAAGGTAACTTAACCTAATTTCTAATTTGACCATTACATGACGTAATCGAACATTTCAAATTTTCTTGTACTTTATAAATACATATTATATACATTTATAATAGTTTAATTGGTTCTTATAAATTTTATTCTACCAGTAATAAAGAATTATTATAAATAATTATCTGACATTAACGTTCATAGATTTGTAAGATTATATAACCTATATTTTGAAGTACATTCAATTATCTACACAATGGTTAATTCTTTGTAGAATAACATTTCTTGTTAGTGTTATTTTACACAATAATATATCGATATTACGAGACAGTAATAAGTTCGCATTTTATTTCGCGTGTCACGTAAACGAGAAACAGTTATTAACGTCGACTATATCGCCAGCGCGTTCGACTGAACACAATGAAAAATCGATTTATGACACTTGCATATTTATGAACACTCACGAAAAAGAAGATAGAGTACTTAATCACAGAAGTTGGATAAAGTTTCATAGTGATTCGTTATAAATTCTATTCCGTTTTAATTCTGTACACAGTATTGATCATTTTATTCGACAACGAAAAGATAGGTTAACGAATGGAAAAATTAAAACAGTAACTCTTTTGTTCCACCTGAAAAGTCTCGATGAAATTTAGTGACACAAATCGATATTTAAATTCGAACAATTGCACGCGTTCGATTCCATCGAAGTTGCAAACGGAAGGTTCGATCGATCGCCAAATCGCAATTAACGCGTCAGTGTTTCCTGCAAACGCATCACGGTACGCTAACGAATTTCACGTTTCTGTAACATCGCGCGAGACATTCATAAAGGGTCATTAAATAGCTGGTCAATCCTACAATTTAACGAGTAAACGGAAAAGAACTGCGTCTGTCTCGGGATGGATTCCTCCGATTTGGTCGTGCATCTCTTCAACCACGTTCACATCAGAGAAGGAAGCTCGTAGAAGTCGAGGTGTAACGAGGCTTATTTATTGCCGTCCAAGGTTCGACCAATCGCGAGACGGGATGGTGGTCGTGGCCATGCCCAGCAGCCAATAGCATCGCGCGTTAGTTAGCTGTCAGCTGGGCCCCGCCTCGACCAATCGGCGCTCAGCTGCGCATGACAGAGTGGCTCGATCTCGAAACACGCCGGAGCAGCAGTTCCTTCTGGTGCGTGCGTAGGAGAACGTCTCTCTTTCGTCCGGCCACGAAAGAGAGAGGGAGCGTTGAATTGACATTTCGCGATTCGTCGTCGAACTGTATTTAATAACACGAGCCAAACGTCTCTTAGTTGCCGCGTGTGACATCGAATACCGGTTACGTTCGAGCGAGTCGCGTGTTCGTTTCTCGGGAGTGTTTGACGAGTGCCAGATAAACAGTGAACACCACGACGTTCGAGTGCATCTTGTGTCGCGTGAAGGGCCCGAAAGTCAACGACGTTTGGAAAAGTTCACGTCTCGAGGAAAGAAGAAACGAGAGAGAAAACGGACCATTTAACACGCTCCTAATAATAGCCGGTGCGCGTTCGTACGCGAGTATACTAAGCGCCTATAAATACACACCTACCACGGCCCGCGGAAACACGAGCCCGTGGATTTCACGGTGCAACCTGCCACGAGGAGATAGAAAAGACGCGAGTCGAAGGGAAAAGAGGGAGAATATAATCTCGAAGGAGGGCGCACCTGGCGCTCTAAGAGAAACTTGCCATAATCGGATCTAGTCGGAGGTAGTAACGCAAGATAATCGCGGCACACGGGACAAGGAAAAGAGAGAGAAAGAGAGAGAGGGAGTGTGTGCGTGAAGCAATCGGGTCCACCGGCTGCTGCTGGTGTATCAACTCGAAAGCAGATTAGAGAATAACCGCACCTGGAACGAGATTTTATTATTTCGCGGGTATATCCTTTCTTTCCGTCTCGTAACACGAGAAACATCCCGGCAGGGCTCGTCGGCCGGCCGAGAGAGCTTGCAGCGACTCTCTACCAGCGGTGGCCTAAAAATATCTTCTTCCTGCATATTCCGACGCGTTTACAGCATCGAGTCTCGTTCCTGCATTATCGAATTTTTCCCTGCTTTCTCCCCGTTTGAAAGCGTACTTCGTTTGGAGGATCCACGAGTGTGACAGACGCGAGCCGGTAAGATGTCACGCAGGTGAAAGACCGTGACTATCGAAAAGTTATGAAGATCATCGAGTCCATCCCCGTAGTCGAATATCCGCCGTCGGAACGATCCTCGAAGGAATCAGGTCCCGTCCGTCGGCCGAACGATCGGTGCGCGGATTCCTCGACAGGAATCGAACCGGAAGAGGAAGATTCGATCGCGTGGTAAAGATACAGTGAGTGAAACGAAGTGCAAAGAAGAAAAGTGGTCCACGGTGGAGGGTGGAGGAGGGAACGGTGTGCAGGGGGTCGCCGTGGGCCCCGGAGATGATGCGATGATGGCCTACGGAGGAACCACCGGAAACGGAGGTGCGATGGGACCTTCTTCTGGTGGTGCGGACGTTTTGGGCTCGACCGGTGATTACAGCCCAGTTCGAGTGCATCTTGTGTCGCGTGAAGGGCCCGAAAGTCAACGACGTTTGGAAAAGTTCACGTCTCGAGGAAAGAAGAAACGAGAGAGAAAACGGACCATTTAACACGCTCCTAATAATAGCCGGTGCGCGTTCGTACGCGAGTATACTAAGCGCCTATAAATACACACCTACCACGGCCCGCGGAAACACGAGCCCGTGGATTTCACGGTGCAACCTGCCACGAGGAGATAGAAAAGACGCGAGTCGAAGGGAAAAGAGGGAGAATATAATCTCGAAGGAGGGCGCACCTGGCGCTCTAAGAGAAACTTGCCATAATCGGATCTAGTCGGAGGTAGTAACGCAAGATAATCGCGGCACACGGGACAAGGAAAAGAGAGAGAAAGAGAGAGAGGGAGTGTGTGCGTGAAGCAATCGGGTCCACCGGCTGCTGCTGGTGTATCAACTCGAAAGCAGATTAGAGAATAACCGCACCTGGAACGAGATTTTATTATTTCGCGGGTATATCCTTTCTTTCCGTCTCGTAACACGAGAAACATCCCGGCAGGGCTCGTCGGCCGGCCGAGAGAGCTTGCAGCGACTCTCTACCAGCGGTGGCCTAAAAATATCTTCTTCCTGCATATTCCGACGCGTTTACAGCATCGAGTCTCGTTCCTGCATTATCGAATTTTTCCCTGCTTTCTCCCCGTTTGAAAGCGTACTTCGTTTGGAGGATCCACGAGTGTGACAGACGCGAGCCGGTAAGATGTCACGCAGGTGAAAGACCGTGACTATCGAAAAGTTATGAAGATCATCGAGTCCATCCCCGTAGTCGAATATCCGCCGTCGGAACGATCCTCGAAGGAATCAGGTCCCGTCCGTCGGCCGAACGATCGGTGCGCGGATTCCTCGACAGGAATCGAACCGGAAGAGGAAGATTCGATCGCGTGGTAAAGATACAGTGAGTGAAACGAAGTGCAAAGAAGAAAAGTGGTCCACGGTGGAGGGTGGAGGAGGGAACGGTGTGCAGGGGGTCGCCGTGGGCCCCGGAGATGATGCGATGATGGCCTACGGAGGAACCACCGGAAACGGAGGTGCGATGGGACCTTCTTCTGGTGGTGCGGACGTTTTGGGCTCGACCGGTGATTACAGCCCACAGGGAACGCCGACACCTCTCACGGGACACTCTGCGGGACCCGTCGAGGCGACCACTTATGGTCCTGCCGCAGGACCCACCAGTTATAGCCCGCAGGATAGCCCCGCGAGCTCCGCCGGCGGCGGGAGTAGCAACGGGCAATTACCGAGCTTTGGATTTACCCAGGAACAGGTCGCCTGTGTTTGCGAGGTAAGACGATCAGTATGTTTTGTTGATGAGTTTTTGACGTTTCTTTTGTGATTTGGACAATTGAGTCGAGGTACGGGTGTTATACGTTGTCCGACGGTTCAGGATACTTTTGATAGTATTTATGCAAAGGTGTTAATCGATCAAACTTTACCAGTATTCCCCATATTAATGTGGGCAAGAAATAAAATTTTGCAGGAAGAATTAGTTATTTTGGTTCACTTTTTTATGGCACTCTAATATATAGCCAGTATGTATATAATTGTCTATTATAACAAATAGCATGAAATATAAAATCAGATTGAAATAATCATTACTATAAAATTTCATTTTTATGTGGTTGTAAAATAAATTCTGTATGGTGAGATAAATAAGAATGTCATATTTATTTGTTGTTATTTTTTTTTACACATAAATGTATATGCAATTTGCAGCAACATGACAATTGAAAACAATAGGGATCTGTTGTCAATGTTGCCTTGTTTACTACACATTGAAATTACGCATTATAGTTCCACGCGTTATATGTCAATTCCACCATGCGCTATATTGCCGCACACTATATTACCATACGTTATTGTTACCGTTCTATAGTTTTGTATGACAACTTTATATCTTAAAATACATAAATAATTATTTTAAGCCTTTGACATTTCTATTATGTTAAACCTCCCTACCAAAATTTTCATTCTGAAATCATAAATCATTTTTCAATTTCTATTTATAAATCTGGTAAAGTATAATCGTAAAACTTTGACACCCTGTATTTCACACATTTAGTGAACACATAAACGAATAACAATGCATTGTACATTGTCTTAAGACTTTTTCGGGTTGCACTGAACGAGATATATAGCTCGCTAGCTACCTAGTATTTGTTCTCAAGATGTTCGAGCACAATATCTTACGTGAATTTATGTATTCCGCGACAGTTGATGATGAAACTGGCTCTATAATTTTGTAATTTTCCGAGGATAATCGGACGTATAACATTGTATAGCACCTCGCGCCAAGATTCACTTGCATGTCACACACCTAATGGAGTTCATGCGATTTTAGTGCAATCGTAAATTGTTTTGTGCCGCGACGTTTACGCTCCTCTCGCATCGAACCGTTACTGGTACACGTGCGTGCGTCGGAATTTCGTTTCTTAAATGTCGGGTACACTTTATTCGGTAGACTATGGACCTCGTTTGTCAAACGCGAAAGAGTACATTATAAATGGAAAGCACATAGAGTTTCGTCAACATCGTATACCTAAATCTTATGGAAACTTTGCAATTAATGTATGTAATTACCCCTTCGAGTACCGTTAATGGACCCTACATTTTCAAGGAAGAATGTACTTTAATAAAAACAAATATTCTTTCTATAAATTTTCATTTAAGCAAGTTTTAATATGTGTCTAATAATAATGTAAAATTGTAGTAATAATATTTTATTATAGTCAAAAGACATTGGGTAAAAATTTAGATATTTTTGTTAAAAATAATGAAACTAAAAATGCTAGTTTGAAGTGAATAAGTTTGTACAATAAATAATTGAAGTACCGTGTAATGTTATTCATTTAAATCTAATTATTTTTATTTTAAGTTTGATTAAGAATAAATGGATACGAGCTAACCTGACCTAAGTACTTCAGGTTTGTCTAGGTTTGAATATAACCTAACCTACGTACTTAAGGTTTGTCTAGGTTTTGATAGAACCTAACCTAAGTACTTAAGGTCTATCTAGGTTTGAATATAACCTAACCTAAGTACTTAAGGTTTGTCTAGGTTTGAACATACCCTAACCTAATCAATTTGAATATGTACCAAATTAGGTTAAGTTGAAGTACAAAAATAAATAGAATTAAATGTATAAAATTACTTATATTTTACTTCAGTCACTACTGTAAACCTTAACAATATCTTACCGACAATATCAATAATGATATAAGAGCAGCATATGTGATCCGTCCATCTGTCAAATCCCGTCGGTATTCGAAGGGTTGAAAAGCAAAAAGAGAAAGGAATTAAAGACGAAACTTTTGTGCGAGATAAAGGTGCGCGAGGAACGTTCGTTATTTGTACATATTTCCCATATGTACGTTCTGCATACGGCTAGACGTTTAACTCCTTGCCCACGTCACATGGATATTCCCGTTTAATTTACGACAACGTTTCACCCTTTCGATAAACGAGCGTGCCGTCGGCTCAGAATGGAATCGTTTAACGGGTAATTACGTTCGCGTCATAATAAAGAGGCTTAGACCCAGTGCAAGTGTTTACGATCGCGTCTTCGAATAATTCAAACTATCTGTTTTCGGTTAAAAGCATTCTTAGTCGCTTGACGTCCGCCATTATTAACCCTTCTTCAGATATATGACCTCTTACGGACATTATTTCTTTTAAGGTACCATTTTATTCAATTGATAAGTGTACTTTGTTCGCGTTTTGTGGTATATCTGGGCTGCGGAAATTTGGGAAAAGATGGGGAGTGTTAGGGGATGCGAGGAGATTTCAGTATTGTAAATTTAGGGATTTAGGGATTTGGGGGTTGGAATATTTGGGAATTGAGAATTTAGGAAATTAGTAAATTAGAAAATTAGGAAATTAGGAAATTAGGAAATTAGGAAATTTGGAAATTAGGAAGCTAGGAAGCTAGGAAGTTAGGAAGTTAGGAAATTAGGATGTAAGCAAATTAGGAATTTAAGAAATTAGGAATATAGCAAATTAGTTATTTGGAAAAATAGAAATTTAGAAATTTAGGAAATTAGACATTTGGTATATAGAAAATTAAGAATTTGAAAATTTAGTTATTCACTAATGTGAAGATTAAGAATTTGGAAATATAAGAATTTACCTTTTATAGTAAAATTATAAGAAATAAAATTGTGACGTATTTTACATCCCAAATTTCATACGTTTGAAATGCAACCCACTTGATTATAATATTAGAGGGGTACCATAATCCAAAGAAGGGTTAAACGCGAAACAAAGCTATAATTACGCACGACACTCGTCAGATGTCACTTTAAATCGATCACCATTGTTAATTCGTGATTATCCCGTGAGACGTGGGCGCTAGTTGTCTTGTATCATATAATCGGAATAAACCACCCAATGGGCGAACATTCGAGATAAAGAAGTAAGGATAATCAATGTATTCTTCGTCGGGTGCCGGTTTACTCCGGCCGCCATGTTGCGTTTCGAGATCGCTCGCTAAGCGATAGACATCGATAATCGAGTTTCCACGATTCGCGACAAGTCGGTTTAGAAGCCGATCGAAAGTTCCGCGTGTAACTCCGTGATTAAAGTGTAATATCACGATCTCTGTCGTCCATTTCTCTCCCGGGCTTTTCGACGCGTTTTATTAATCCATTACACGGCGGTATTTCTCGCGTCTGGTGATTAATCGTTCGTCAGAACTGTCGCGGGCAGAAACTATATAGGTGGCACCCGACGACGCGAATGAAGAAGTAAAACCCATGGCAGGTGCACACGAGACTCGTACCACCGTCGCGTCGCTACGTAATGGACCCTCGTTTTCGGTAATTTGGATGTAACCGAGCCAATCGATCGCGTCACACTGTCTCACGTTGTTTCTTTCGATCCTTATCCTGCGTCGCCTCTTAATGGGACTTTAAACGTTACCTTTTTCCTTTTCTGTGCTATTAAGTGTTACGAGTCTCGCATCGAAATTAGCTACCGAGCCTCGTGAAAAGGGCACAACAGTGTATCGCGACTCTGATCTCTTATGGCAGAATAACTTTTATGGTTAAACTTCGTCTTACGCGAGAAATTGACATATCGTTCGAATTTGGATCGAGTCACCCAAGTTCTTATATTTGCAATTTTATCCAAGTTATTTCTGTAAAAGTTTATATTTCTAAACTATCGAATTCAAGAGCGGAAGATTGACATCAGATATTTTTGACCAGCTGCCTAGCCGCCATTTTGGAATTGGAGACACGGAAAAATGACATAATGCGTAAAAGTAGTATTTACAGATGATCTGTGTAATGAAAGGGCAGTTTCGACTGAACATGCAGTCGTTTAACACGCTGCTGATTATTATCGATGCCGATATCGATAATTATACATTGATAATATCATTAAGAGGGTAGCCAGGCAACGCATAATTTTCTTATTTAAATTACTGTTTTTAACACTTTTTTTGATTTACATAATTCTTGTTTAAACTTCAAATTTAAATAATTTAACTTAATTTGATGCATAATTTTATCATTAAAATCTTACTCTTGTTTAAACAAATCTTGATTCAATATAACCTTGATATGTCTTGATATAATTTATCATAATTCAAATTTATTTATTCGTATTTAACTTTCAAATTGAACCTAACATTTTAGACAATAATAATTGGTTTTAATGAGAAAATTGTTTTGGATTAGGTCTGTTTAGATTAGGTTAGGTTGTTTGGTTAATTTAAACTATGTTAGGTCCTGTAAATTTAAATTGGGTTAAGTTAGCTCAAGATTAGGTTAGATTATGTTTGGCTAATTTAAACTAGGTTAGATCTTGTTAATTCAAATTAGGTTAGGTTAGGTCAGGATTAGGTTAAATTAGGTCTGGTTAAATTAGATTTGAAGTTCAGACGAAAGGAAATAAATTTGATCGATTAAAATTATATTTTACTTTAATTTTCACAAAGCATAATATTTTACATTATCAATATATTGTCAGCGACAGGAAGTTATATCAGTAACGTCATCATTAGCAGCGTCTCTACTACAGTTATTCTAAGAACAAAATAAATTAATAAATGAATGCCCGCTACAAAACGAAGTTTAACCAAGAATAAACACGTTGACCAAACCAAAAATGAACCCATAAAATCTCCAATTAATCACTTACAGTAATATTTCTCGACTCATAACCTGTTATACTACATTTAAGTCCTTCTATGACAGTCAACGTGTTAATAGTCCCGAAAGGTTTACAAATGTTCGAAAGGTACCCTTTTCGCGGAACGACGATAGAAAAAATTGTTGATAGACTTGAGAAGCAATACAAGATACACTAGAATAAGAGGAGAATCGGGATGAGTTCTGCCGACTAACAGTGTGCCCCCCCTGTCTATCGTCTTCAAGGCGATGGTGTCGTCTGTCCAGGTTCTCCAGCAGGCTGGCTCCGTGGAGAGACTCGGCAGGTTCCTGTGGTCCCTGCCGGCGTGTACCAGGTTGCACCGACACGAGAGCGTCCTGAAAGCCAAGGCGATCGTCGCCTTCCATCGGGGACATTTCAAGGAACTGTACAGGATCCTTGAGAGCCACACGTTCAGTCCGCACAATCATCAGAAACTGCAAGCTCTTTGGCTCAAGGCTCATTACATTGAGGCTGAGAGACTCAGAGGAAGGCCTCTTGGTGCAGTCGGTTAGTATCAGATATTTTAGTCGAAGACATCCAAAGGACTCTTTATCCTTTTTCTTAGTTACACGTTTTGGTTGTCTTGTTACCGTTTGGTTATTTTATAACTAGCTGGGTATTTTGTAATTTGTTAGTTTCTGAATTCTAGCTGGTTGTTTTGTAACTTTTCAACTTCTGAAGCTGGCTATTTTATGACTGTCGAATTTTTAAAGAGTAGCTGGTTATTTTATGATTAGCTGATTATTTCACAATTTTTGAAGTTCTGAAATCCAGCAGCAGAACATAATTTCTGATCTTCTGGATTCTAGCTGGTTATTTTATGACTATCTGGTTCAAACTTTAAGTGTTCTGTAAAATGAACATTGCACTGTTATTTAAGAAAATTTGATTTTCTATATTTCTTTTTTCAAATTTTTGTATTTCATGACATCAAATATTAACTTTGAATCATCAGATCTAATGAACATGAGAGTATTCAAAGAATTAATACATTAAGATTATAAATTCTTTAATTCTTGGAAGTGATACAAAGGTTCATATAAGTTTGAAAGTGTTATAGTAACATTAGTTATTTATAAACAATTAATTGTTTAGATAGTGTGATACTTGCAATATTATGGTGACAACACTGTCACGTGACTGTATTATATATAATGTAGTACTTTTGCAACATTAGAAAATTAATAATTTAAAGTCTATAAAGCGAATCTTAGGAATAGTATGAAACTGAATTTGAATTTCCCGCCATTTCACTGTACAGCTACCTGAGGATTAAACTACATTAAAATCATAAATTTTCACACAAATTTCGACATTTCTACAATACTATCGTCACTAATATATTATAACTAAGATATTTTTCCAATAACATAAAAGTCTTTTATTACAAAAATTCTATTCTTTAATTTTAAAGAAAACATCACTGTGTGTCTGGGTTTCAGTTGATCTATAACGAAATAAATTAGTTGGAAATGACTTTTGGATTCAGTTTTGGGTGTTTTGCATTAGTGATTCACGTTGCTTAATATTTTGGACGTTAGAGTTAAAAATATGATCGACCGCGTGAAGAGGTTATAATAACGCTGAGTCTAATTCACCGGCGATCATAATAGAAACGGGAAGGAAAGATTTCGTGAAAGAACAAGCATCATGTCGAGGTCTGCCAGTGTTATTTCTGTCGCGCGTTGTAAACAAGAGGATAGCGAGTTTAACGAGCTGACATTCTAATTAGATCTTTCCATTTACTTTTGCGAACCAATTTGTGTCATCTGATCCCTCTCGCGCTAAAACCAGAGGGCAACGCGAGGAAAATGTGTCGTCTCGCTGGAAGATTTCCGGTTCGTCTCGAACGGAATCTTGAAACTTCCTAGAAACACTAATTACGGTTCATTTTGTGTTTATTATAAAATTGTAATATCTTCTCGTAATACTTTCGCTGTGGGTGTTATGAAACTTCATAGATTGTAATCATTATTATTTACATAATTAATTGAGTGTGTTATAATATTATTAGAAATATCACTTTATTAATAATTATGTTTACTGTTACTATTCAAATTATCATTAACTATTAAATTATTGTTGTTATTATTGTACACAGTTATTTAGAATACATGCCACTGTTTTCCTGTTTGTAATTGTTTGCTGATTGAAACTAATACTAATAGTACTTAGAATATTTTTCAAATATTGCTGTGGATATTAATCATTACATAACATTAATAATTTGTATCATTACTACAACTTACTTGTTTCATTCATTAACTGAGTGTCCAGACTTTCAGTACCCTCTCATTAAAACCACCTTGAATAAATTTTTCATTTTGATATCTTATGTAAGAATTAAGAAACTAAAAACGTGATGCAACAAAAGGTGAACGTCCAGTTGCAAAACCAATATCAATAACATTAGTTAATATTCTCTTCTTTTTTATGTCTCTTCAATAAACTCTTTCTGAAACAAATGCAAACAGGATTTATATAATCTTTATTTACGTTCTCTGCACCGACGGAAGTTCGTTGCAGGAAAATGTTAAACAATGTTGGGTATTTGTAGCTAAATTGAATGACGACGGAAATAATACTGGACTGTGTACTTTGTTATATCGTAAAAATATCTAATCTTTATTTAGTTTAGTATTTTGAACGCGGAATATGTAATTCTTCTTTGGTGCACTTGTCGTGTGATATAAGGTTAGATGATCTTCTACGCATACGAAAAATTTGAAACACTCTGAAATATTTATCAACATTTGTATTACATTGTGGAATTGTTCATTGAATACGTAAAAGTTTCTTTAGTAGGCATAAACATAAGGAAAATCAAATTTCTTTCGTTTAACCTAACCTTGACCTAACTAACCACAACTGAACCGATTCAATGTAATTCCAACATATGTAACCGGTCAAATCTATCATAAACCTAAATTTGCAGCTGTCTAACTTCATACTGACCTTATCTCCTCCGACCTTCAAGCTAATCTAACCTAACCTTCATTTATTTTGACATAACCTAACCTTCATTTATCTTGACATAACCTAACCTTCATTTACCTTGACATAACCTAACCTTCATTTCACCTTATCCCAACTTTACTCTAACTTTACCTTGATCTAACATAACCCCAATTTCACCCCAACTTTAACCTAATATTAATTTTACCTTCATTCAACTTATAATTTTACCATAATCATACTACATTAATAATTTACCTAACTTTACTAACCTAATCCCGACTTCGCCTTACTCTAACCTAACCCCAAGTTTACTTTGATCTAACCTAACCTTGACCCAACCTAATCTCCACATCTCCAAAGCATGCCAACATACCAACATATCAACATACATGTTTTCCTTTTATAATAAGAACATCACAAAACATATAAAAATTGTACTCTATTTGTATCTGTACAGGAAAGTACCGCGTTCGACGCAAATTCCCACTGCCCCGTACAATTTGGGATGGGGAAGAAACGTCTTATTGCTTCAAGGAGAAATCCAGAAGCGTCTTAAGGGATTGGTACTCTACCAACCCTTATCCTTCGCCTCGCGAGAAACGTGAACTGGCAGAAAGTACGGGTCTCACCACTACGCAAGTCAGTAATTGGTTCAAAAACCGAAGACAAAGGGATCGTGCTGCCGAACACAGGTATGTTTACTTCATTTATTAATATTAGGTAACGTCACTTCTATGTTACATAGCGTTATACAGTCTCGTAATCCTCATATCCTCATATGATACATTGCTAGGGGTTGTATTTGACACGTCTTATATATGAAGTGCGTTGTATTTGGTACACAGTGTATTTAGAATGTGTATTCGGTATCGTTGTTTATGAGACATGTTGTATTTCATATCGTTGTATGTGGAAGGTGTACACATGGTGTATTCGACATATGTGTACGGAACATATGGACATATGTGTGTGGTGTGTGGACATATATGGTGCTGTATTCAAAATACGTTGTGTTTAGAATGCGCTGTATTCCACATTTGTGAATGGAACGCGCTGTGTTCAACATATGTTGCATATGGAACGCGTTGTATTCCACACATGTCGAGTATGGAACGCGCTGTATTTGACACACGTTGTATATAGGGTGTGGTGTATTCGACACACGTTGGATATGGAACACACTGTATTGGGCATATGTTGTATATGGAACGCGCTGTATTCGACACATGTGTGATACGGAACGCACTGTATTCGGCATGTATTGCATATGGAATGCGTTGTATTCGACACACGCTGGATATGAAACGCACTGTATTCGACACACGTTGGATGTGTAACGCACTGTATTAGTCATATGTTGTATATGGAACGCGCTGTATTCGACACATGTGGAATACGGAACGCACTGTATTCGTCATATGTTGTATATGGAACGCGCTGTATTCGACACACGTTGGATATGGAACGCACTGTATTCGTCATATGTTGTAAATGGAACGCGCTGTATTCGACACATGTGGAATACGGAGCGCACTGTATTTGTCATATGTTGTATACGGAACGCGCTGTATTCGACACATGTGGGATACGGAACGCACTGTATTCGGCATATATTGTATATGAACCGCGCTGTATTCGGCACGTGTTGTATGTGGAACAAGTTGCATTCGCTACGCGTTGTATTTGCCATGTGTTGTATTCGCAACACGCTGTACTCGGTACGCATTACATTCTCAATACATCATATTTTGCATACGTTGCATTTGCTACCCATTGTATATGCAACGCATCGTACTCAGCACACATTACACTTGCCACGCATTCTATTTGCAACGCGTTAATATTTGACGATCCACCATATCACCAAGTGTCACATTCTTCCATAATATATGATCACAAGAATCTCGCTATATTCCAAATTTTCCGCTTCTACCCGACCCCGGCAATACATGTATTCGCCAAAAAGTACTTCCACCCATAACGAGCTTTAATAACTAAAATAAAAAAGCGTATGAGAAACAGCAGTATAAGCGTTGTATAACACGCCGTCGCATCGTCCACATATTTCCCTAACTTTTTCCCTGAGCCGGCCTTGTTACGAAGAGTTAATCGACGGTAGCCGAGTTGATATCCCGTGGAATCCGCGGAGGGCGCAAGCGTGTAGGAGTTTCATGTTGTTTGGAAGGTCGTTGCTCTATATCCGATTTTAGAAACGACCGAGCAAAACTCGAAGACGGCCTCGTAACCACGTAACGTTAACGCTGTATGTCCCTCGAGTCGCGCCATCGGTCTTTTATCAGATGCTTCTTTTCCCTTTACGTGCCTTCCATGTAATTTACAACGTGCACGTATATATCGTTATTCCGCGGGAACACGTAAAATGGGCACCGGTTTTTTCTTTACTGTTACCTCGCCTCGGAGCTTAATTATTTGGATATTAATTCTCTCCGGTTCGGAACCCTTCTTCGCATTTTTTGTACGAAATGAAAACATGATGGAGCCGCAGTACAATTTATCGAACCGCTTAATCGTCGAGCGGTTTCATTATCGCCATTTTGTTCGTCGATGAAAAGCGTTTAAACACTCGCATACGTGAATCAATTTTGGTTACCGTTATAATGTGATTCCGTGAATCGTGTAGCAACGACGTGCAACCAGGGTTTTTATATTAGGTTATCTACAGGGTGTGCTGTAATTGGCACGAGAGGTTTTTTGCTGAAGTTAAGTGAAAAATGTCGAGGCAAGTTTTTTGTACGAATCATATTTTCGTCGGTTTTGTTAATTAAATTCATTAATCGCATGATGAGTACTTGTCGAAGAGTAAATACATATTTAGCGAGTTTTTTGTGGATCCTGTTACCAAACTTTTGTGAGGTTAATTTTTCTTTTGAGGGCAGTTTATGAAAGTTGTAATTGTTAAACTGATTTGTTAATTGGTGTCGAATAATTTTGGATAATAATCGAGGCAACGATCAAACTGTTCGTTCGGGGGTGTAGAACGAATTACGGGGGATGGTATATGGGTAGGGGTGATATGGATGCTTTGTGGGATTTCCTGTAATTAATATGCCGCGAATGATGCCATGCGTATCCACGATACCCCAAAAGCCATCGGATAGGACTAGAGGAGAGCCACCACACCGCGTGGCCTCGTCTCTTTCCCTCTTTCGATTTCTCTCTGACCTTCTGTCTCCGTTCATGGGAATACACAGAAGCCATAAGAAATTCGATACGTTCCCCGTGGCGTGATGCGGCTGTGTACTAGACTGGGCCCCTGCCACGGTGGTGCTTCCCACTTCCTCCCTCGCGAAATTCTCGCTCCAAGAGAAGCGCCATCTATCCTGGCACACGATTCGCATCGATGAATTCGCCCGAAATCAACGTCTCCTACCCGATATTTATGATATCCGTCGAGTCGAGTTCTACGAGTCCGTCGATCGAGCACGGCTGTTAATCGTGCCGGCTAATCGTCTGTACGGACCGGAAGTAACCACTTTTTCGCTCGAACGAATTCATCAAACGCACGCTTTCCTTATCTGCTTAGTTAGGCTTCGTATAAACACCGTCGAAAGAAATGCGATAAAATTAGATAAGGGAATTGCTCCTGGGGGAAAATTGAGGAAATTATTTGTGGGATAGGGAGGAATGACTACTTCATGAGTTAACATAAAAAGTATCTATTATAATTTAACAGGAATCTGACCTAAACTTGTAAATCTTATTACTTAGCTTTGTGTATGAAGTATAACCTATTACAACTATAACGTTATCTAAACTTAATCGTGGGGTGTAACCTGAACTTAACGAAACTTTAATGTGATCTCATATAAATGTATCGCAACTTTAATCTGATGAAAACTTAACCTATTTCTAATCTGATCTGAAATAAACTTTCGAGTAACGTAGATCAAGCTGAAACTTAATCTGACCTAACCTAATTTATGAGAACCTTAATCTGACCTAACATAATTTATCGGAACTTTAATCTGACCTAACCAGCTTATCAGAACCTTAATCTGACCTAACCTAATTTATCAGAACCTTAATCTGACCTAACCTAATTTATCAGAACTTTAATCTGACCTAACGTAATTTATCAAAACCTTAATCTGACTTAACCTAATTTATCAGGACTTTAATCTGACCTAACTTAAACTTAATCTTAATCTGATATAACATTAACTTGATCGTATCTTAATTTGATCTAACTTAAACCTGTTAAAACTCTGACCTGACTGAAGCTTGTTATAGTTTTGACCTAACCTAAACTTATGAAACTTAATATGACTTAATGTAAACCTGTTACAACTCTAATCTGACCTAACTGAAACTTGTTACAGTTCTGATTGAACCTAACCTAAATTTATGAACCTTAATTAATATGAAGTTATTACAATTCTAATTTGATGTTACTTAATCATAACTCTAATTTGGTTTAACCTAAACTTATCAATCCTAATTTGACCTAACCGAAATCTAAACTATGACCTAACATACTGTAATTTTAGTCTACTCTTGGCTTAATTCTTTTTAATCTGAGCTAACCTAGAATTAATGCAATATAACTCTCTAGGTTGACACTTGGTACTCAGTTACCTCCAGAAGGATATCTCGAACATTTCACATATCTTATATATTCTACATATGTTCCAAATACTTCACATATCCTAAACATTCCACTTATGTCATGTATGTCTCTTATTACATACATTATATTTCACTTCATATATCCGATACATGCCACATATTCCATATATACCACATATTCCAAAAGTTTCACATATCCCATACGTACCACATATCCTCAACATTCCACACATCCTACATATGTATATCCCACATATGTCAAACATTCCACACATCCCATATGTACCACACGTCCCAAATATTCCATATATCTCATACGTACCACATATCCTCAACATTCCACACATCCTACGTATGTATATCCCACATATGTCAAACATTCCACATATCCCAAATATTCCACATATCCCATATGTACCACATGTCCCAAATATTCCACTTATCTCATACATGCCACATATTCTCAACATTCCACACATCCTACATACATTCCACATATCCCATATATACCACATATCCCATACATATCACATATCTCATACATTCCACATATCCCATATATACCACATATCCCAACATCCCAAACTCAATATCTTGAACCAAACTAAATATCTCAAACATCCCACATATCCCATACATACCACATACACCAAATCGCCCAAGATACCTAAAAATTCTTCTAAAAGAACAATCCGATCGATAAATTACACCGAAGGAAAACGTTTGTTCGTTCGCACAGCGTCCGCGTGTAATTGGACCGCAACCTTGATCATAAATTCACCGGAATGAAAATACAACGCGGCGGAAGGCATTTCGAGGAATTAATGAGTCACACGTGCCTACCATCGAAACTGTAGGACAAAGAGGGAAGTATAAAAGAAGAGAATGAGCTATGCAACGGTGCGTAGCGGCGATAAGAATTGCTTACCAATCGTGTCTAAGCTCTCGCAATCTGCATCGTTCGTATTTAAGTTTCGCCGTGCGTTCTAGTCTCTTCTCGGTCAGATAAGTTGGCCGGCCTGCGCGATGGACGCTCCGCGATCGCGTTGCAACTCCGAAAGAGGAGTCGCGAAATATGTGTAAGTACATGTATAAATATGAACGT